TCCCTACACAAGTCCTTTAAAAGTTTGTCATCATGCTAGGTGCAGCTTCAGTGTTGGTAGGACATGCAAGGTTGTGGTTTCTGTTGGTGGAGAGAGAAAACGGGGAGAGAACAGGGAGCGGTGGCTCTGAAACACAGAGTGGGCAAACACCGACTGCTCTGGAATCACCACACAAACAAAGAAACAAACAAAAAACCCACTACAGATGAAGCTGCAGGGCACAGGGGGGGGCACTGACCATCATCGAGGATTCACAAAGGGTTAAGCAGAAGCAGTTCAGTTCTTGCTGTGATAGTTGCCATCCAATCCATAGACGGGGACGGTTTCTGTTTTTTTTAATCAGTGACATCATCAGTTGACATCTTTAGTGCAGTCAAAGGAAAAACAAAACTCCAGAAGCAGGCAGTCTTTAGGGGGGATATATACCAAAAAACAAACAAATAAAAAAAACACCCCAGACAGCTTTGTGGAGAGAGAATAACATAGGGGAAGGACAAAGAATGAATGAGCATGTGGGGATGGAAACCTCATACACACTCCTGTTCGTGATGGAGTGACATTAAAAGAGACATCAGAAGTATTGCTTGTAACTTTGGTCTGGGTCTCTTTGCCAGGGGGCTCAGGATCCCACTGTCCTCTGATTAATTTAACTCAATTTCAAGGTTTTTACCTTTAAGTCAAATCTGGGAGATTCCCATTTACATCATCTGTAATTCTGACTCACAAAACAACCAAGTATATGTGAAAAAGGTACACATACAGTATGACATCACACGTGCCAGCTGGTGGATGCCACTTTCAGTCGAGGCACCAAAGAGTGCATATTGTTTTTTTGTTTTTTTATGTGGGTGGCTACGATGAGGATGAAGTCTGTAATAACCTCAGCAGCATTAATGCCATGCGTTATGGTGCCCAGTGAGTCACACAGAACCACTAATACTTACTCTGGAACATTAACATCTTCACAATCCCAGCAACAGGCACAGATCTAAAATAGTTTTCAGAAGTTGGGACGAACTGATTGTACAGGGGACAGAATCCTCCATTTCTGTTACTCCTCATATCGACACAGAACTACTATACTGCAGCAATAATGATCGCAGGTCACAACGTACACGTGGCCACTGACAGCTACAGGTGCACTAAAGAAGCCTGACTATTTCATTATCCCCATTCTCGATGGGATACAGTGATTCTGTACAAATCAAAAAAATACATTGCTCTGTGGATATACAGTACAAAACCCAAACAGTAAAGGGTTGATTCTGGAAAAAGAAAAGTGAGATTAAAAAAACATCTTTGTAAGGAAAATACTGGTGCAGAAACACATGGACATCATCATCTTTGGTGGATATTCCACAGAGTATGCTTAAAGACGTCTGAGTACACAGAGACATACAGACACACACATACACTTCCTACAGCTGAGAACAGGTATTCACTGCAGTTACTGCTAAATATGGGCTCGTTTACTATGAACTATGTACCTGTTTCTGAAGCAGATGCAGAAGTGAGGAGGACGACAGTCACATCACACTGTGATACATTTGGCTGTAACCTACTGGTAGAATCGATCCAATATTAGCGTCCAACTTTTGAATCTGTTCGTACAAGGACTGCATATTACACCACTGTTGGTCAGGGTGGTTCCAAAGAGATGTACTGTATGTGGAGGGATTACAGCATGTTTGCATTTCAAACTGCGTGTGGCACCACAGTACATAAACCATGTCTTCGGTTAATAGTTTGACTAACAGCTATCACGGATCCCTGCCACGACTGACATTAGTACACTGTCTGAGAGTTTATTTATACTATCACTATGTTCCCAGCAGTGTTACCCCATCCTCAAAGGTCCAATCTTAAAAACAAAGAAAAACCAGTCCTTGCCCCTCTCTCAGCAACAAACAAACAATCAATCACAAGAAATCTAAAAAACAGACACAAAGATTCAAAGCTGCCTGTGGAGGAAGATGCTGGCATTCATTCAAAACCATTCAGTGATGGACGCTCGGGGCTCTCCACTGCGTGCTTTCTGCTCTGCGGGCCTCCCAGTTCAGTTCCCATGCAAAGCCATGGCTTAGGTCAAGGAAAATATACCACGTGCAGCACCTCCCAAACGTTGTCCCGGGACCCAGGCGAGGGAAGGAGTTAACACGACCCCCCACTGTTCAAGTATGCAATGGGAGTGACATAAAATAACTTATAGAACTTCAATGCATATGATCAACACATAAAACTCAACAAAACAGCTGTCTCATCTGGCCTGTAGCTACTGTAGATTCTGTCAGTGAATCAACAGGGCCACAATATTTTGCAACATTTTTACCTTTAATACAAGAACTAAGCACATGAAGTGTCATCTAAGCAACGAAGCAAAAAACATACGTTACACATAAATGTGTAAACATACGTGTAAACACATACATATTAAAACTATTTTATGTTTCTTTTCAGTACTAGATTTACATCCTGAAGAGCTATGCATCTTTCAATTAATTGTATATGTGTGTGTATTTAGGTCTGATCACTCAACAAAGAGCCTGTGTTTCTGTTTCTAGGCTACATTTCACCCTAAACTGGCTACACTCATTGATCAAGAAAGGAGACAAAACTGTTTAACTTCCACATGTAACGCATGATTCTTCTGGGAGCTGAATGGTGTAGAAACCACGTATTCCAGTTTTAAAACAAAATCAAATAGATGAAAAAACATTATCCATTAAAATCCATAAAAGGACAAACATGATGAGAAAAGACATGGTGAGGTCCACTGAGGAATGAGAATGTGAGCTATGGATGGTTTGTGAAACTATGCATGTGTATTCCCACAAGTACAAAGTGCACGTGCGTACTGACACATGGGATGGAGGTAAGTGTCTCTGTGGGCTGGTTGTTAATAAGGGCTTCTCTTTCAGGCCTGGGTCAGGGGGAAAGAGCGGGGGTTTTAGGAATTCCTTGGTCCCTTGACTCCCTCAGGAGCTGAGGGTGAATTGGTCTTGCTCAATGGGCTTTTTGACCCAGGCCCCCAGGCCAGCCTTGTGGAAGGCCTTGATGAGCGCCTGCTTGGCAGAGTGGTACTCTGTGGCTGCCTGTTTGGCGTCATGGTAGGAGCTGGGCTTGAGCACCTTGATCCGCAAGATGGACGACAACTGGAAGGGAGAGAGCAGGAGGAAAAAGCTGAGTAACGCCATCAAACACAAATGAGCCCAGTAACGCCATCAAACACAAATGAGCCCAGTAACTGAGGTTTTTGTAGGCAGTCATGCTACTACTGGAATTCAGTGTCCTCTTTGGCCTTTACAGTCTGTCAGTGATGCCGTACAAACATCTCAGCTAGTTTTCTGCAATCCAGCTTTTCAAAGACGTAAGATTTTAAACTTCAGATTAAGCTGCTTAATGTGACATGAATCCAAGCTGTCATAAGACATATCTACAGGGAGACGAACATCCTTCAGGTGGATCACATATTAGCCTTTGCAAATTGTCGTCCGATGGACCAAAATGCTTCAAAGCAACCGGGTGCAGTATACTGTATGTACCTTAGAGTGCAGGTGCACCCAGCGGCTGTAGAGGGCGTGCTTGCAGAGACGTGACGCGCGGCCCATGTCGTCCTTGCCTGTGGTTGCATTGATCACCTCTAGGGCCTGGTCACCCACTGTCCAGTTCACACTGAAGTTCGGTGCCTTCCCTGGCTGCCTAGCCTCTGCATTACTTATACCTGAAACCAGAAACACCCAGGGTCAAGGTGCAAGCAGTAGTACACCAAGAGACCACAGCAAAGGATATAAAAACACAGCTGTAGAATCTGAAATAGATTTTTTTTTTTATGAGGGAGACAAACTGTTCCATCCACCAGGGAGGACTCTGAGGACAGAGCCTACACTCTTCTCTTCGGCCTCCGCTGTATCTCAAGCATAGATGGGAGATATATGGATGCCATAAATCGCTGTGTCTTATTCTGTGTGTGTGTATTAAGCTCCTTGGTTCCATTTGGCGGCACTTGTGGCAGAAGATGATTTAAAGGGAATGAAATCCTCAGTGTTCTCTAGCGTTACAGTCCTTCACTGTTACAAACTCTCTAAAGCGGAAAAGGTTAATAACCCCCTTCTATTACCTCCTTTAACCGCCATTTAGAGAGCAACCAGAGAGGAGGAGCAGAGGGAGCTGTGTGTACTTGCACACTCTGTGATAGGATGATCCATGCCATCCTCTGAGATCTAAACAAAATTACCACATTATCACTTCAGTTGCCTGATTGTTGACGTAGCTGTTGCTTTAGCCTGTTTTCAAAGTTCCTGTCATGTACTGTTTAGTGTAACTGATCACAGCTTGGCTGTTGTACCTTCACGACCATAACTTGGTTGTGTTTGTGTTTTTCTGTTTTGCTTGATGAAACATTAGCAATTGTTAGCATGTGTGGTTAACTAACTTACTCCCTACACTCTCCAGCTAACAGCAGTGTATGGTAAACATATCAGTTAGTGAAGATGCCAGCGTTTTGCCTGTCTTATCATATTTTACAAAGACTCTCCTTTTACAGTGAAACATTAAAAAGCCAGCCTGTAACAGAATTTTCAATCAATTCAAGAAACATTTGTTAACTTAATTGGCTATAGCTGATCAAATCTGCTGGTGTCAGCTGTTACTTCAGCAGACAAATCAACGTACTTGCCAGACATGACAACCCCACTTTGTCTACTTCTGTCAGAAATCACCGACCCATTGTTCCAATCACTAAAACAAAATACAAAGCCTGTTCGTGGCTGTTACTTTCTTGTCAGTGCCTGTAGTAGAAGAGTGGGACAGAAAGAGAAGTGCAACAGGACAAAAGCCGAGAAGAAACAACCAACATTTTTCTTAAAATATAAAGAAAAAAGACAAATAAAATGACTTGAGGGTTGAATAAGAGTGAAAATCCAAATGTGGTTGGTACAAAAATATTTGGAAAAAAACTTTCTTACTCTACAATCTTAAATGCCTTTTGTTTACTGAGTCACCTGAAGATGAAAACGGAAAACTAAATCTAAAAACAGAAAATCAAAACCAACCTGCTGATCTGTACTGACTTTTAAAAAGGTCAAACCAATGCTGAGAATTTACACGGAATGATTAAGCTATTGAGATTATAGAGGAACTAGGTAAATGTCAGCTCAGAACAATAAGTGTCTTCCTGCTGTGGACTGACCAGTCAGGGGGAGAGACGTGTTTACTGCTGAGGATCACTGTCTCCCTCTTTGACATTTAGACAGCTTGAGGTCGATTAGCAAAGTTGATCTAAGAGATCCTCTCCAAACAGGAAGATGAACACGATCATGCTGTTACCTCAGTTTCACTTCACTTCAAACTGCAGCAGAAATCCCATCAGATTTGTTTTAATATTCCACATTAACAACGGGCTCTTACCACTGAGTAAAGGCCTGTTGAGAGTGAACTGCTGGGGCAGGTCCTCGATATCTGCGATGCGCTGGTACATGGCCCGGGAGAGGTGGTCAGCGTGGTAAAGGCTGCCAAGGATGATGCTGGAGAAGTAGACTGGCTCTGTGAAGTAGCTCATCAAGGAGCCCTGGATTCCCACCACATTCCACCTGCAGAGGAAAAAACACACCGGCATCAGGCAACCCGGAACTGGAGGTTATTTGTTGAAAATATGCCGTCTGAAAAATACATTTGAACTCAGTAGCAAGGACACAGTGTCGGTGGAATATTTAGACCAAACCTGATACCTTAGTTCACACCACAAGAATAAATATCAGCATCAGCCAGATTCAAATTCACCTTGATCTCATGGTCACTGTCTGCACAAGCTGCATTGTTTTCTTTCTAGTTGTTATTAGAAACCATCAATTCCTAGTCTTCTCTAGTGTGTTGATATTTTTCATGCATGCAGATGATGTTCAATAGCTGGCATCTACAAAGTCTGATCAGCCCTGAAATTGTCCAGGGGGCTCCGGGGTAAGGACTGTTCTCTATACCGACACAAACAGGAAGGGACATTTAAACCATGAAAAACCTGGCCAAGTATACATTAAATTATATGATAATGTGGTATGTGCACAATTGGGCATGAACATACAACAGCATAAGCAGAATATGGTACAGAAGCAGCCAATAAAATCAAGCTCACACAATCACACAAATTCCTACAGCTGTGTACAGTCTGAGGTATCTAATTTTATTTTCTATAAATCGTCTGAGCATTTCTATCCTATGTCATTAGCCACCTCTCCCCAGTCATTTTCCTATTGACATGCTCTGTGAAGCACTACCTGCCTACCTCACACACACAGAGAGCGACGGAGACTGAAACAGAGTCTGAGGAATGCAGCAGACAGGTGGCAGAAATGGAGAAAGAAAGAGCAGGACTATGAGACAATGGGAGAGAAAGACAATGGAGACAGGAAAAGAAAGAAAGAGTAAAGAGACAGAAAGCAAAAGTCAGAAAGAGATGAATGACTAATAGACTAAAGCTGCTGTGTTTTTATATATTGCTTGTTGTCAATAAAAGACCAAAACCAACAACGACTGTCAGTCTCTCAACACCTTTCTCTGCCCCTATGTGACACTCAGACTCAAGCTCGTTCAATCCCAAAAAGGTACATTTTTAAAAACTGATGGCAAATATATTGTTTCATTTAAAAACCAGCCAAACTCACAAGAGCAGACAGAGGTCACTGACCTTGACCTTCGACCACTAAAATCTAATCAGTTCATCCTTGAGCCCAAGTGGACAAATTGGACTGGCAGACAACCCGGAAACATAACGCCTCTGGCCGCAGCTATCGCTGGCGCGGAGGTATGAAGACAAGGCTAAAACAGCTGGACACGACAGTTTTTTAGTAAATGTTGCTCAGCTGCTTATTAATACATGTCATAAGTTTACAGCAGAAGGACACAGTGTACAGTATGTGTGGCTGACTCAAACTTAGAGTGCTCATGTTCATGGTAATGAAGCAACGGGTTATCCAGTATGATGTGTTTCAATAGTTTCAGACAACACTGCAGGTAATAGTAGTAGTTAGTGGGATCAACTCATGATCGTTGGAAATGATGATATTAGGAAAAATACTGACTAACCCTAAACATTAAACTGAGTGTTGCTGGTTCTCTTCATTCTTCCTTTTACTTCAGGCAGACTGTTTGAGAATGTGTGAAATTACTAACATGGACCCAGAACAATGAGGAATATACAAGCATAAGACCCCAGGCTACATGAAGGATCCATTGTCTCCATTTGCAGTATTCTGTGTGTGTGTGTGTGTGTGTGTGTGTGTGTGTGCGTGTGAGAAGGTGCATGATATTGTGTGTGAAACTCAGGCAGGGCAAAATGAAATCTCTGAGTTCATAGCTCCAAGCAGTAACACACATATTCAGCACAGTTAAACAGCTTCATAATATTTCAGACCGTGCACAAACCACAGTAACACACACTCGCACGTTGTTTTCATCCCAACAGCAGGTAACATACAGTGTATATCTGAAGAGAGTCTAAAAGACCCGCACAGCACCACAAACAAGAAAGCACAGATTTGGAAATGTGTGTTGAAATGCATTCTGTTTCATTCCTGTCAACCACCTCTGCATTTCTTTATTTTATTCATTATAATGCTCCGTGCAGATATACAGTACACACAAGCTCAAAACCAACACAAATGTGAGGACAAGGTCAAAACAATTCAGGCTCATGCAATCGAGCCGTTAAAGTAAAAAGTGACAAGAGACACCAGGACAAAGGAGAAACAGGCCATCTGAGCTTTGCCTCTTTGCTAATGAGCTCATTCAAGTAGCTGGGAACAAGAGACTCGAGGCAGAGAACTGCGTGTTCTTGCTGGGCATGTAATCAAAGGGAAATAAGAGGAGAGAAAACAGTGTGCATAGAGGGAACATTAAGGGCATGGTCAAAGTGTGCCAGTCAGCAGCAGCCCTGCAGCTAACAATCACTCACATGGGGACAGAAGCAGGTGGGCAGGCGATTTCTCACCTGGCTAATAGCTGCGTTATGAGAAAGAGGCTTGCATAATGTTTTCTCACAGTGACAGAGAAATGCTTCTAAGGGGTTAATTTTCTGGTGCACTATACCGACTGTACTGTAACTGGTGTCAACTTTAAAATATCTCATGTTATTCCTTGTTATCTGGTGCAGGCTTGTCAGAAAGAACCCACTGGATTGCATGTGTGGCTTCCAACCTATTTTGCCCTCTACTGACTTGGATCCCTCTGCTCTGAACATCCAGACAAAATCTGAATCACTAGTACCGGTACCGACATGCTGAAAAGGGCAGCACCAGCTCTTGCACGGCGCAAACAGCCTTCGCTACACAGACATCTCCCTCATCAAATACACACTCCACATTCAATCACTCTGTGCGTTCAGGCAAGGTATTACGGTCCTGGATGGAGGAGGAGGAGGAAAAGGGCTGGTGAGAAGAGTTATGGAGAAGTTTTATCATTCATCACAAGGGGAGGCACAGTGTTGCCTTGAACATGGACAGAGACTAAAGACGCTATGATCTGCCTGCAAAAATGGCCCCAGGGACCGAGGATCCATCAATTCAGCTGTCCCTGACACTACCTGAAGAAAATGATAGACTCGAAATGACAAAGCAAAGAAATAATGCAATTTATCACAGTATGAGTAAATAAAACACACCAAAGGAGGATTATGAATCATGGCTAGTTGTGGTTTAAGTAGGAAGTTTCTGCAGCGTTCACTAAATGATTTTTAAAACCTGAATACCACCTGACACCGATACTATTTTCACCATTACACCAGTCAGTGATTGACAGAAAACCATATTTGTTTATTTATTTGTCAAATAAAAAAACAGCAAAGCAACAAACCAGCTGCTAGTTTTTACCTTGCGATCTTGTCACTGCATGACATGGTGAGTAACCGCTCTCCTTGCAGCACCCCATCCCATGTCTGGATGGTGTTGCTGGATCTAACAGGGATGGTGCCCTCTCCCGATTCAATTTTGGTTCTTAGCTGGCCGCGTGCTTTCCGGTTGGGATGCCTGTCTCCTTGATCTGATCAAGACAGCGGAGACAGAGAACAGAAACGGGATAAACGCATATAGGTTTAGACGAGATCACTCACTAGCTCCCTGTATCAGGGAAAACATGCTCAACTATATAACATAGTGGCAGTAAGAAAGAAAAACACTGCTGAAAATTCTAATCCCAGCCAATATGGTTGGTTGTCAACATAAAAAAAACAAACACAGATTCTAACAACAACAAAAAGGGAAACAAATAATAGCTTTCACACAAGCATGACCTATTATTTATTATTATGTTATCAATGTTTTCTGCTGTTCCACCAAGAGGCACCATCTATTCAGTGACTAATTGAATGTGGCTGTTTTCTATTCAGTCTGCCATGTGCAATGGAAAACACTGACAGGAGTAAGAGGGAGGTTAATCAGACAGACAGTGTGGGTGAGCTGGGTGGGAGAAAGACTGATAGAGATGGACAGAGAATGACAAAAAGCTCTAATTACTAGAGCCTTGTTTAAATGCATCTGTAATGCATATTTGGACATCGGAGTGAAATTCTAATTAAATGAAACCAAGCATAATCAGAAAACCTATACATTTAATTAAATAAACTGCTGCTGAAAAGGAATTCCAAATTAAGAAGAGACCAAATTAAAACATGTCGGCTGAGGTGAGAGGGAGAGAGGCAGCGTGGGGATGCTCTGCGGTGGCTGGGTACCTTCCACTCCGGCCTCGTGTGGAGAGAAGATTCTGGCGTCTCCACAGGGCGAGGTGCTGATATAGAGGTGGAACTGAACGTTGTCCTTTAACCTGTAACCTCCCTTGTCACACAGCACAAATACTGACTTCTGGTGGTCCTCCTTGTTGTTGCTATGATGACAGACAAATGGCAAATTCACCAAGGAGCTGAGAAACAGCACTAACCTTACATTTACATTTTTTTCTCCATTATAACTCATTTAAATGAATATAAAACTTAATTAAAATAGATAAAGCAACAAGCATTGAAAATAAACATGAATGCAAGCTAATGTAAATTCAAGAAAGTTCCCAACAGAACAAGCAACTGAGCTGTATTTATAGAAAACTAATTTTACACTGTACACTGACCTGAGGAAGAACTCCAGCTGAGTGTAGAGGTACCTGATAAGCGAGCGTCGGGCGATTATCTCAGCGTGGCAGTCATTGAGTGCCAAGCCGCGGTCGCTCATGTACTCACCGTTGATGCATTTGGTTCCTGTGGAGACACAAATGACCTGTGCTTCCTTGACATCTGTCCCTGTTGGGGGGGGGGAGACAAGAAAGACATATTAGACAATAGATGCACACCCTCGGAGTCATGCCCTTGAGAGTTTGGACTGCAATAATTGCTTCCGAAAGTTGATGTAGCAAAGAAATGATGGGGGAAATATCTGGCTCTTCATCTGCTAAATGCTCCACTATGCTCACCAGGTAATCTCCAGTTGTGTGTGTCTGCTGTTTGTTGCTGAGCAGATTATGTGCAGTGGGTTGCTAGAGCTTTCTGGCTGAACACAGTTGCCTGCTACAGCTGAATATGATGCTATGAGAGCAGTGAGAGTGAGCCAGCACAGAAACGCTGGGGGATAAACAGCTAAACACTGAGCCAAAACTCACCGGAAAACGCTGATTTGGGTGACACTGTCACTGAAGTGAAGCAAATTTTACCTATTGGCTTGCAACCTGAATTTCTCTTTGAGTAACATTCAAAAACTGATTGTTAGCGCTGTATCTTCTAAGCATTAAAGCACCAACAATCTCTTCCCCGAGTCTACCTGTTGTCATGACGACCCCTGCTAGGACTTTTCGTCGGGCATGGGGGGAGGTGAAGTTGTCTGTCAGCTCACTGAACTTATCCACAACCAGGCGTGAGACGGCATCAGCCAGAACCTGGAATCACACACACACACACACACACACACACACACACACACACACACACACACACACGCGCACACACAGAAAGAAGACACACAAACGAGAACTTGTGTCAGATGTGTCACTTTACAAAGTGTCTGATGTTATCCTCCGCTAGAGCACTATGTACCTGTCACAGTGTTCGCATCCAGCTACAAACAAGAGTCAGTGTTGAAATGGCAAGCAGTGAAACTGGGTTGACCCCCTGAGGTATACATAACCTCTTTCAGTTTGGCACAACACTTGTAATTACCCTGGCTCTCCTGACAGTGCATCACAAAAAGCAAAAACCAAACAAGTAAAGCATCTACTGTACCAGCTTTTCGCATCACTTCAAACCACAGTCCTGGGAAACCTGATGTGAACTTCACGTTTTTTTTTTTTTTTTTTTTTTTTTACCTGTTAGTATTGTCTACGACTCTTTATCCATTGCTAATGTGATGGAAAATGATGACAACCAAGAGAGAGATGATGGCTGGATGACCACAAATTAAAGAGATTAGTCCAATATTACTTTCCTGCTACTTTGGACTCACCCACTCGTAGCATGATCATTTGACTTTGCCAAGGTCATCCTATGGTGTAGGAAAAACAAAAGTTAACGTACCAACCACTAACTTTTGGTCTTGGACAAAAAAGAAATATGTCCAAAATTTGTCCTTTAAGAAATGAATAAAACTGTACTTATTTTTCTCACTGCCTTAATATTTCTTATATTATACCAAGTTTTTGAACTACAAAAAAACAAAACAGAACAAAACTAAATATAGTTTTTTTCCCCATTACTGTCTCACCAGATGGAAACAGGCTGCAGAAATTAAATACCAAGCAAGTGAGAATGAACAAAGCAGTTAGTGGGGTCGCTGTCATTAAAATGAGGTGCTTGTCAAATAAATCAGTTGACGAGTGGAGAGAGAAAGTAAAGACAGAAAAAAGGCTTTGGGGGGGGGGGGACTGCTGACAGTGTGTCATGCTGATTAGCTTTGTGACTGTGTTATCTCTCTTCACACACTGGCACGACTCTTGACAGTCACCTCTGCAGAGACATCTAAAGCAACCACCTGCTTTTAGTCAGTGCAAACCTGATGTGAATCAGATTTTAATGACAAGTTGGTAGAACAGCAGAGTTTTCCTGTTTACTTCCGGCCACATCTTCTGTCCGAGTTTGCATCTTAACAAGCTTCCTGACAATGATTATGATGTTTTAGAGCTTTGATGTTAGCTAAACGAGTCCCACACTGACTACTGAACTACGCTCACTAAGGCTACCACTGTAACCGCAACATCACTGAACAAACTCTATTTAAACCTTCATCAGTTTTTAACCCATGAAGAAATTAAATGTGCATGTGATGAAGCACAAGTGCTTTGTCTATCCTACACAATAATAAAAACATGCTCATGAGATGGAAAGCAAAGCAAAAGTCTGTGCACATTTCTGCTTTGAAAAATAAGGGGTTTCTAAGTCTTGTCCAGCTATTGGCATGAAAACTGTATTATGGAGAACTCACAGGCATGATTCATTCACAAAAGCCTGGTACATACTATTACTGAAGGTAACAAAGCCTTGTACGTATATAAGTGTCTTTTGCTTATTCAGTTCACGGAACATGGCAGTTGAAAAGAATTAAAATCTCCAGTCAACCAAAAATCTGTGACTTTACAATAGAAAATATAAATACTGTGCCAAAGTTTAACCCAAGGTTGATCTTTTTCAATGCATGGTGACTGAGGAACCCACACGGCATGGTGGACGAATACTGTGATCCCAACTGCTGAGCACCTTTGTAAAATAAATTAAATGGGTGAGTTTGTGTTATGGTCAGTCTCTTTAGGTATGACACTGAAAAACATATCTTACCTGGGGCAGGTGAAGCTGCAATCCCTCTCTTGGAATGGGTTGCCGGGATGGTGTCTGGTCTAGCTGCATGTTGAAGAGAGCTGAGAGGGCGGCCTGCGCTGCCCGGGCTTTAGCCAGCTTCTTGTTGCGCCCTGAGCCTTCAAATGTCTGTGCATCCACTGTTACTGACATCACAAAATTTTTGGCATGACTTTCCCCACTCTCTGAGACAAAGTCATATTTGAGGCCCGGCCTGAGCTCATTTAGAATCATGACTGGGTTTTTACCACTGGAGGGCGAGCTGAATGCCGACGGAGGGGGCAGTGGGGGCTGGACAAGGTTGCTGCCAGGTGGTGTGGGCAGTGGGTACTCCCCTAGTGAGTTTAAAGAGCTGCTACCATTGGAGCCAAGATAAAAGGATTCTTCAGGTGCAGCTGGGGTCTCAAAGCCATTGAAGAGCATGTCTGGAAAGTCAGCTTGGTCAGAGGTAAAGTCTGTGTTCACCGTCAGTGTCCGACCCATGGCCAGGTGTGCCTCAGAGGCATTGGGGAACTGGACAAAGGAACGCAACGCTTTCTCAGCTGCATTCAGTTTAGCCTTCTTCTTAGTTGGGCCCATGCCCTCAAACATCTGTCCATTGACCTCCACAGTCATGACAAAAACTGGAGCATGGACTGGTCCTGTCTGAGACAGCAGTTTGTACTGTAGACCTGGTTTGATTTCATTCAGCTGCATCAGAGCGTTCTTGGGCAGGACGGGCCCTGGCGTTTTCTTGCGCTTCTTAGCCCGGAACTTGGAGTGCGTGTGACCATTGTTTCCCTCCTCTAGGGGGCGCTTTCGACCGCCCATGCCACTTCCAATGGGGAGCTGTTCAGCCACTCCCACTCCATCTTTGCAGGACACGTTGTCCAGGTTTCGGTTTTCCTTAACGTCAGTGCTGCTCGAACCTGCGGTGCCCAGAAAGAGTAACTTACAATGCCTTCGTTGCAGGACCTTGTAAATGCAAAATTTATAGATTCCTTTATCACTCTTTGTAACTGAACCAATGATTTGTGTTCCTTTATCACATCAAGAGAAAGTGGCCTTTAATTTTGACTGAGAACATTAAACTATAGTCTGCTGATACACCACTGTACATACTATAAATAGTACAACATCATCAACATAACTGCTGTTTTTATTAGATGCTGAGTTCTTAGACATGTGTCTTGTCAATATTCAATACAATATAGGGAATGTTTGGACTCTATTCTGATCATATGGCACATAACATTTTGAAATTAACCTCTTAATAAGTCATCGTAATTAAAGTTGCAGTTACAATGTAGGCTTGTTATTCTAGTGGTCAGCTTAAAGTGAGAGAAATATATTTTCAGGTAAAACAGCTACTGTACACTTCTCAGACTCCACAGTGTTACTGATGTCAGACATAAAGACACACAGATACAAGCAAGACACACAAACACACACTGTTTTCACATTCACTCTATCATTTTTTTCATTGGTTGAGTGTTTGATTTTATACTACAGGCTCTGAAATATACTGTACAGGGGAACACATATCACTGAATCCAGTTAGCAAAGCGGATGGAATATTGGCAAAAATTTTCATTTATAACATCCTTCAGCAAAGGCTTGATAGGTTACTCCTTGCGGTACTCAGGAGAAAGAGAGGCCGCAGTGTGCATGAGTGAGATTGTAAGTTGGGTTGAGGGAGTGCAAGGAAGGAGTGCAGGGGGAGGAGCTGAGGACCAGGCAAACAGAAGAATACATCACAGAGGCAGAAGGAGAAGACTCCACCTAGTGCAGGATCCTAAAGGCTCGACTGGTGACACGGTGGGAATTAAAATGCTGTTCACCCATTTTGGAAAAGAATGGCTGTCATATTTAAAATGAGCAAAATCTGAATTAAAAAATGGTTTCCAATGAGGTGCCATTCATAAGACCCCGCGCCTCTGAGATGCCCCCCATGGAGCTTGTCAGAGAGCAGTGCTTTAAGTTGCAATATGTACTGACATGCTGTTACCATCTGCATACAGCAACTGACAAATGTCAAGCCAAGAAAAAAAACAAAACACAAAGATCTAGAATGAAGAGCACAAAATTCATATTCTTCAGTTTATGAGCTTTGAAAATATGTGGTATTCTTAGTGTGTGCTTATTCTGGAATTCTGCAAATACATGTAATGACAAGGGACAGTGTTAGTGTGCACAGTAGTAGCCAAGAGGAACTAACACCTATCACAGTGGCAATAAGTGAAATTTGTGGGTTGGACAGGGTCAGAACCTCAGCCAATGGCCTTTAACCATGATTGAGACTGTAGCATTAGTCGAGGAGTCTTAGCAGTGGTGGAAAATGGCAAAGTGGGAACCTGAACTCTCTTTCTAAAAGAGATTTTTTTTTTTAAATATACCAATTGTAAGATTGGTATATTGTCTAAGATTATCTGCACAAGATAAAGTCTATGAAACTTTCAGCTACTGTGAATTTAACTTTAATGTCTATTTAAATGCACACATTTATCTAGTGTTATTTTGGTGGGCTATAATGACTAATAAGCAAATAAAAATGGTAAACAACAAATGACAACTCTACCATGCTGCCCAGAGAAATGTGTGTGAATATAAATGGAGCACAAAAAAACTGGAGCTCCCTTTCTCCGTTACAAAATGATTCATTCAATACATCTAAACTTTCCTAAAGGGCTAAAATTTCTACCATTCATTTTATAGTATGACTTTTTTCAGGATGATGGATATCCAGACCCTAAGACCGGTTCAGAGGACAAAAGCCACAGAGCAACAGCCATGACACCATGCGCTGAATTATGACACAAACATGCAGTTGTGACCACTGTCATGCCAGCATCTGTGTAGTCAGCATTCATTAGTTATGCAAAGAATTTAAAAAAAATCCCATATGCTTGGATCTTCCTGAGCTAAAAGTCTCCGTGGGATCGCAGACAAAAAGTGTCTGTTTGTCACCGCTTGTTTGGCTTCATGTGATTAGAAGAGTTCAATAAGGGCTAAAGTTGTCAAAAGCTTTTTTAAATTTTTTTATTCCATTAGTATTAAAGAAATAGGCTCACGTGAGCCTGAACTGTGCTTAATCTTCAAATATATCTTTTGACTGGTGGCAGAAATGTAAGAATGAGGCTTCGCGACTATAAAGCCTGTTTTGCAGCTTTTGCTTATTTGTCTTAACAACATGCTTCTCCTCTGTGCAAACACGTCAGTCATGACACTACACTCAGAAGTGCTCATTTGTATTGCAGGTTAGGGTCCTGCTGGGATGACAGCTCTCTTTAAATGCGAGTTCAAAATTGTTAAGGTGAAGAGAAACATTAATTCCGTGTCTTCTGAGGCTCACTTGCTGAGTGCAAACCAAAATGTCTAATTAAAGTTCAATAAGCTGGAGTGGAGAGGATTTTCTATGGAGAGAAATGGAGGTGAGGGAATCTGTAATATGACCTGAAGTGTCTCAGATGTTATGATTAATTCTTCCCTGAAAAGTTTCCCATCAGCAGTATGTATTTGTGTGTATGCGCTACTTTATGTTTTGGTTCAGGAAAGAACAAATGATAGCTCCCATCATGCTCATGAAGGGGCATCTAAAGGAGAATATACTGTAATTAGAAAAACAACAAATATAAACAGTAGTTTTGTGTGTATTGCAAGTTATCCTATTTCATAAAACGCTCATACTTGTGTAATATAAGTAAGCAAAATGTGTTCACACTGATTACACATCAGGGAAGGACAACACATACAAGGGAAGACATGCGGGCAGAAAGAAAGGAGGTCCACGTTTAAAAGTACAGACCAGTTATTGCACAGACAGGCGGACAGAGAGACTGCAACATTTGAAAAGTCCAAGTCGACTCACTCATGTTCTCCTCCTCATCCACATCCATGGCGACGGGCTTGTTCTGATCGGAGAGCAGCCTTGCCCCCACTGCAGCTGGGGACCAGAGGACAGAAAGGTGGACTGCATAAGTGACACACATGCACATAACACATTTATAGTCTTCGAGGAGCTACAACGATGATGCATTTTTGGCTTGATGCACACACACATAAAAAAAACAAGCATGATGTATGCATATAAATATTCAGGGGCAGAGAGATATCAAGGTGAGAGAGGAGAGCTGGGGCTGACAGGCCTTAATAGCAGGAGCAGTCTATTGTGACTTTAATATCCCTCCGATTAGACCTAATTTCCCACTACCTTCGGAAAGATGTGCAGCTAGTGACATGGCCAACTCACTCCACCGCTGGAGGTGGAGAATGTGCTTAAAGCTCCATTAAGCAACATTTTGTGCACTAACATTGAACCAAACAAGTGCCTGCCATCTGAAATGCTCACTATTGCTGCCAATTACACTGACAATGAACAACTAACCAAGTTTATACAATGATGGATGACAACTGAAAGGACAGCCCAACATAAAGTATCTCAGTAAGATGTTGGGCCACCATGTACCATCACAACAGCTTCAGTGCTCTGAGCTGAGCCCATGTAAGAAAACAGCCGCATATAGTCCAGTGTACACACACTGAGCTAGTGGGAGTATTAATGACATTCTATCATGTGACTGGCATGACAGCGAGGGAACACAACAATGAAGACGCCAACGAATATATCTAACTGAAGACACGACCAGATCCAGAAACCTCTGTGGTTCAAGGCTGGTGCCAGAGTTGTCAGACAAATTTAAGGCAAAATATTTGGTTGTTTATGACCAAATTACAAACTGGTCACATGATCGCGGCATGTCCCGCCTCCTGTTGGCTCGACCCAGGTGCTCTCGCCCCATGTCGGTTCGACCCAGGCGCTCTCGCCTCATGTAAACCAGTAGGTTAGAATGAATCGCACACAGACTGTCTCCTGGTGTGTGCTACATGTATGAAAGGGCAACTCTGGACAAAGTCCGGACCTGATATTGTGGACATAGTCCAGAGTTCATGTGTGGAAATGGCTTAATAACTTTTTTCCCCAGCCTTCATGGCATGATATAAGGCGACAATGACTGAAGGATAGAAATGTAAACCAGGTCAGGACTGGACTAAAAGCACAGACCTTTTTCCTTGGGCCACCTGGGGGCAAGGGAACAAGCTTTAAACACAACACAAACATATTATCTTGTTATAAAGCTGTTGTGGAAACAGCTGCCACTTACTCAACCAACATTCAGGTTGGGCTGTGCCTCTGGTCACTGACAAACATTCTCCTTTTAGCTTTGGTCTTAGTCTGTACCAACATCTGAGCAAAATACCTGGCTCTTTATCAGCTAAATTATCCACAGCATCTTCTTTACTAACTTCATCTGTCTGCTCTTTGGTGTTGAGCAGGTAGCACAACAACAGTTCATCTGTGGTTTTCACTGCTTTTTCAGCTGCCTGCTGTGGCTGGAAACAAGAATAATGAGAGCAGTGAGAATGAACCAAAACAGTAAAGTTATGGGCCATAAAACCAATACAGTGAGATGAAATCCACTAAAATGCTCCGTAGAGGGAAGAGAAGTATCATACATACTTTCTATATTTCAAAACCTGCTTAAGAACTTCTTGGAAAAGTAGTCCACTGAGATATCACTGCACTTCTGTGACAAAGTCGGACTCTCGACAGACAGTTTAGAAAAAGAACACGAATGATGCAGCAAAACTAAAGTTATTGTCTGTTTTCTTGTCAAACCTGGTGGCAACATTACCCACAATGCAACTCGACAACTAACAATTCAATCTCAGACTTGGGTGTGTTACGCTAGTAGCAGCTATAACCTCAAACCAAACCTCGTCGGCAAGCGGAGATGAGGAGCGGGGCTACAGAGCTCAGTTCTTTCTGATTCAACATCCCCAGGTTTAATCAACTTTTAGTTCTCCAGAATGGTTGTAAACATACTTCAAGGTGTAAATTTGATTTGAGCTTTCACTGTTACCTATAGTGATGGAGTAAAAACTTAAATATTTTCAAAGTTTCATTTTCAACAATGATAATAAAAGCAAAATAATTCACAGTACTTGGGCAGCATTCATTTATCTTATAACAAATAGATCACATCAACTACAAGGTTTACTACTGATAATTATTTTTTGACCATTATACATTTGGAAAGGGGGATTAGTTTAAAAGGTTGCCACACTCATACTGCTAATTACAGAATTACAGTAGTTTCAAAAAAAGAAAGTTTTATCTGGGTGACTTTCCCTATCAGTCTTCTCCCAAACATTTGAAAAGTCATAGCACAACAAAAAATACTGCTGAGAGCAGGGCAGATGAGTGCAGGCTGATGAAACAGACCAAGTCAGATGTGAGAGGAGGAAGCAGCAGAGGGAAAAGGCAGACATGTAGATGACACAAAGAGAGCGCAAGCAGGAGAAAGATGGCATTATGATATAGAACAGATTGTGCTGATTCTACTCTCCCTCTACCCGCCTTCCATCAGTGCCCCCATTCCTCAGCCAGACACTTTCTTAAGCTAAACTAAATGGGCTAATTAATCTTGGCTAATGGTGGGTGACAGCAAATATGCTAGCACAATTATCACCCGATTAAAGATTCATATTCCAATCCATAATTGAAAATGAAAAGGTGGGGTGAAGGGAGGATGGGTCGGAGTAGGTCTAACAGAGTGGAAGATGAGAGCCATTTTTTACAGGTAGCTGGAGCCAGGTGTCCCCAACCCCCGTACACTCTCCTAGCGACCCAGAACCACATGTACACACAGCCAGACTCACTCAGAAGCAGCCGTCTGTTAACTCCTTGCCCTGAGTAGCTTGTGATTTTTTAGACTTTTTCTACTCTAAAATAAATGACATTAAACCCAAAATCTGTCCCTCATTTTCAGCTTCTTCTGCAGAAAAGTGCATAGTCTATGTTTCTGAAACTATGGAATTTAGTTTTCTGTTGCTGCAAATCCAGCGCAGCTTTAAACACAGTCTGTATGCAGTTGGGCCAAGGCTGTGTTTTTATTTTATCTTCTTGCCATGAATGAATGCACTTACACCAGGGTTGGGGGGAGTGGCTGAAGTGGCAGCTGATTAGGCAGTGCAGTGCAACTTTGATGCATTTGCCTTGAAACCTGTTCAGTCCATTTTTTTGTAATTGCAAATACAGTTGCATGGCAATAACAACAGTTTAGGCTAAAGAAGCACAAGAACAGATGTACTGTAACAGCCGCACGCTTAAAATAAATCCTCACATTCACCACAGATCAGCCGGAATTCACACGGAATAATTTATTGGGAAATGATCTGAATTATGAAATATGTGTGATGATTTTATTTTAAAATAAGATACAGTAGATGAACTAGTCTTCAGCATTTGGCTGTAAATGTGAATATGGTCAAACGGTGTTGGCACGCATCATGACACACCATCTGTCCTAATTCAGCTATGAATAAATTATGCTATGTAATTGCTGCTGGTTAAAGGACCAGAGTGTTTTTGTATTCCATGCACAAAAAGTCATATTAGCAGACTCTGAGGGAAGATTTATGTGCAGCACTTCTACCATAAATATTTTTCATCACAATTTAGGAATAAGTACATAACTGATGGAAGAAGAAGCTGTAGTGAAAGTCTGTTTGAGTGCTGTAAAAAGCTGGATGTCACAGTATTTCCTGCTTTTAAACTCTGATAAAACTGAGATGCTAGTCACAGGCCTGGCCTGACATTGACACCGGTTTGATCCTCCCAACAACTGTGTGATTTGTCCAAGTCTGACAGCCTAAAACTCTGATTGTTACATTTGACACTTAGATCCTCTAACATGATCTAAGGTCTAAGATTGATCTAAGGTCTTTGGGTGTCTTGGACTGTCTAGACTCTATAAATAAAATTTTACTTGCTTACAAGTTTTTACTTCTGCAGTGCATGAGGCTATATGATTTTACATTTACTGGGATTTTTATAATTGTGTATAAATGAATCAGTCAATATACTGTGTCTAAGTATAAAACCAAATAACATACAAGACCGAGGTTTTATTCTCATACTTATTCTATGTCTTATTCCTCCAACACACATTGCTGTGTAGTTTAATCAGCACACCATGCAAATGTGTTTGTCAGTTTTGATTTTCAGATGAGACGTCTTGGTCAAAAATCTGTAACTATTGCTTAAATCAGGAGCAATCAGTGTGGAGAGACCCACAAAGAAATCATAAACTGAATGCATGTGTGTGTATTGTTGCGGACGTGTATGTTCAGTACATCTGGCAGTAAATGGCTGCCGTCCTACAGGGCACTGCGCTTCAGAGAAAACCTGGTCACTGCATTCAGTCACCTAAAATGAAAGCTTATACTTTTGTGCTAAGTGAGATTTATAATCCCTATTAAAGCCCATACTATAAAGTAAAAATACAACAGAGAAAATGAAAAAAAATCAATGGACCCCTAAATATAAGAACTTACATAATGACACATGAGGAGATCTCAGTGCTGTGCTAAATGTATGGCGTTGTGTGGGAGTGTGTGGATGTAACAACGTGTATCAGTGTGTGTGTACTGTATCTCCACTCTTTGACAAGGTCAGTCCAGATTAAATGCAGCCAAATGCTGATTACAAACAAATGACAAATTAAAGTAATCCAAATCCTGACTTTTAGAAGTTATATGACGTTGCCTCGTGGTAAATCAAGGAAAATAATGTATTTCCTACAGGAATACTTAAACTTAAAAGGCAATAACATTTTCTTTAATAAGGCCCATTGCCCAATTCCCCATTGGAATTATTTTAAGATTTGTGGTATGGCAATCAAAATATTCACACTATATAAAGTGTTTTGTTTAAATGATTTCATAACCAAACCAAATGTGAATGACAACAGCAGTTTTGTTTTAATAAAGTATGAAGTAAGGCTACAACCTCTGTAGTAGATCTTTCATGCATTGGTTGACACCAAATAGTAGCTATGCTCTTTACATACGAGAGATTGACAGCAGCGCGACATTTACTAA